GTGATTCCCGGGTCAAATGACATTTCTATTTTGAGTTTTTTGAGGAACCTCCATATTGCTTTCCACAGTGGTTGAACTAATTGACATTCCCACCAGCTGTGTAGGACGGATCCCCTTTCTCCACAACCTCACCATCATTTGTTTTACCTTGTCTTTTGTATGTTGGCTATCCTAACTGGTGTGAGGTGATATCTCATTCTGGTTTTAATTTGCATTTCTCTCATGATAAGGGATGTGGAGCATCTTTTCATGTGCCTATTGGTCATCTGAATTTCTTCTTTGGAGATGTATCTGTTCAAATCCTCTGCCCATATTTTAACCGGATTTTTTTCTTTTTGTTTTTTGAGGCATGTGAGCTCTTTATCTATTTTGGATGTCCACCCTTATTGGTTATGTCATTTATGTATATATTCTCCTATACTGTCAGATGCCTTTATGTTCTACTGATGGTGTCCTTTGCTGTACAGAAGTTTTTTAGTTTGATATTTTCCCACTTGTTCATTTTTGCTTTTGTTTCCCTGTCCTGGGGAGATATGTTCATGAAAAAGTTGCTCGTGTTTATATTCAAGAAAGTTTTGCCTATGTTTTCTTCTAAGAGTTTTATGGTTTCATGGCTTATATTCATGTCTTTGATCTATTTCTAGTTTACTTTTGTGTATGGAGGTAGACAGTAATCCAGTTTCATTCTCTTACATGTAGATGTCCAGTTTTGCCAACACCAGCTGTTGAAGAGGCTGTCATTTCCCATTGTATACCCATGGCTCCTTTATTGTATATTATTTGACCATATATGCTTGGATTTATATCTGGACTCTCTGTTCTGTTCCATTGATCTCTGGGTCTGTTCTTGTGCCAGTACCAAATTGTCTTGATTACTGTGGCTTTGTAGATAGAGCTTGAAGTTGGGGACTGTAATCACCCCACTTTATACTTCCTTCTCGGGATTGCTTTGGCTGTTTGGGGTCTTTTGTGGTTCCATATGAATTTTAGAATTATTTGTTCTAGTTTGTTGAAGAATGCCATTGGTATCTTGATAGGGATTTCATTGAATCTGTAGATTGTTTTAAGCAGGATGGCCATTTTGACAATATTAATTCTTCCTATCCATGATCCTGGGATATATTTCCATTTATTGGTGTCTCCTTTGATTTCTCTCATGAGTGTCTTGGAGTTTTCAGGGTATAGGTCTTTTACTTCCTTCATTAGGTTTATTCCTAGGTATTTTTTAAATGCGATTGTGAATGGAATTGTTTTCCTGATTTCTCTTTCTGCTAGTTTGTCATTAGTGTATAGGAATGCAACAGATTTCTGTGTGTTAATTTTGTATCCTGCAGCTTTGTTGAATTCAGATATTAGTTCTAGTGGTTTTGGAATGGATTCATCAGGGTATTTTATGTGCAATATCATGTCATCTGCAGTGACAGTTTAACTTCTTCTCTTCTCTGCTGATATGTATGCCTTTTATTTCCTTGTGTTGTCTGATTGTCGTGGCTAGGACTTCCAGAACTATGGTGAATAAAAGTGGGGAGAGTGGGCATCCCTGTCTTGTTCTCAATCTTAGGTGCAAAGCTTTCAGGTTTTCACTGTTAGGTATGATGTTGACTGTGGGTTTGTTGCATATGGCCTTTGTTTTGATGAGGTACTTTCCCTCTATACCTATTTTTTTAGAGTTCTTTTCATGAATGGATTTTGAATTTTGTTGAATGCTTTTTCAGCATATATGGAGATGATCATGTGATTTTTGCTTCCTTTTTGTTGATGTAGTGGATGGTGTTGATGGATTTTGGAATATTGTACCATCCCACTTGATCATGTATGATCTTTTTGATGTATTTTTGAATTCTGTTTGCTAGTATTTTGTTGAATATTTTGGCCTATATGTTCATCAGGGATTTTGGTCTGTAGTTTTTTTTTTGTGGTGTCTTTGCCTTGTTTTGTTATTGGAATGATTCTGGCCTCAAAGAATGAGTTTGGTAGTATTCCCTCCTCTTCTACTTTTTGAAAAACTAAGGAGAATGGGTATCAGGTTTTCTCTAAATATCTGATAAAATTCAGCGGTGAAGCTATCTGTTCTGGTATTTTTTTTATTGCATGGATTTGATTACCTATTCAATTACATTGTTGGTATTTGTTCTGCTCAGATTTTCTTTTTCTTTATGGGTCAGTCTTTGAAGGTTGTATTTTTCTAGAAAGTTATCCATTTCTACTAAATTGTCCAATTTATTGGGATACAATTTTTCATAGTATTCTCTAATAACTCTTTGTATTTCTCTGGTGTCCATTGTGATTATAACTTCTTTGTTTCTGATTCTGTTTATAAGTGTACACTCTCTTTTTTTCTTGATAAGTCTGGCTAGGGGTTTATCTATTTTGTTTATTTTCCCAGAGAACCTGCTCCTGCTTTCATTGACTCTTTCTATTGTTTTATCTTCTCAATTTTATTTATTTCTTCTGTAATCTTCATTATGTCCCTCCTTCTACTAACTTTGAGCCTTTTTTCTTCTTGTTTTTGTACTTTCGTTAATTGTGTGTTTAGACTGTTTATATGAGGTTTTTCTACTTTCCTGAGGGAGACTTGTATTTCAGTATACTTCCCTCTTAACACGGCCTTGACTATGTCCCACAGATTTTGTGGTATTGAATTATTGTTGTCATTTGTCTCCATATGTTATTTGATCGCTGTTTTTATTTGGTCATTGATCCATTGATAATTTAGGAGCATGTTGTTAAGCCTCCATGTGAATGTGGGATTTTTAGTTTTCTTTGCATAATTTATTTCTAGTTTCATACCTTTGTGATATGAGAAGCTTGTTGGTACAATTTCAATCTTTTAAAATTTACTGAGGCTAGTTTCGTGGCCTAATATATGATCTATTCTTGAAAATGTTCCATGTGCACTTGAGAAGAATGTGTATCCTGTTTCACTTGGATGGAGTGTTCTGTAGATGTCTGTTATGTATATCTGTTCTAATGTGTTGTTCAGTGCCTCTGCCTCCTCACTTATATTCTGTCTGGTGGATCTGTCCTTTGGAGTGAGTGGTGTGTTGAAGTCTCCTACAATGAATGCATTCCATTCTATTTCTCCCTTTAATTCTGTTAGTATTTGTTTCACATATGTAGATGCTCTGATTTTGGGAACATAGATATTTATAATGGTTATATCCTCTTGTTGGATTGACCCCTTTATCATTATATAATGTCCTTCTTTGTCTCTTGTGACTTTCTTTGTTTTGAAGTCTATTTTGTCTGCTACAAGTGCTACAACTCCTCCTTTTTTCTCCCTGTTACTTGCATGAAATAACTTTTTCGATCCCTTCACTTTTAGTCTGTGTATTTCTATGGGTTTGAAGTGCAGCTGTTGTAGGCAGTATATAGATGGGTCTTGTTTTATTATCCATTAAGTGACTCTATGTCTTTTGATGGGTGCATCCAGTCCATTTACATTTTAGGGTGATTATTGATAGATATGTACTTATTGCCATTGCAGGCTTTAGATCCGTGGTTACCAAAAGTTCAAGGGTAACTTTCTTACTATCCAACAGTCTAACTTAACTCACAATCTAAAGGTTCTTTTTTCTTTGTTCTTCCTCCTCCATTCTTTATATATTAGGTATCATATTCAGTACTCTTTGTCTATCCCTTGACTAACATTGAGGGTAGTTCATTTGATTTTTCATCTCATTAGTAATTAATTGGTCTATTTTCTTTACTGTGGTTTTATTTCCTCTGGTGACAGCTATGTAGCCTTAGGAACACTTCTGTCTGTAGTGGTCCCCCCAAAATATACTGTAGAGGTGGTCTGTGGGAGGTAAATTCTCTCTGCTTTTGCTCATCTGGAAATTGTTTTATTCCTCCTTCAAATTTAAATGGTAATCTTTCCATTTAAATATGCTTATAAACACAGTCTGATGATTCTTTATCACCCTTCTTATTTCTCCTCCTCCATTCTTTATATGTTACATGTTTTATTCTGTGCTCTTTTGTGTTTCCTTTGACTGCTTTTGTGAGAAGTTGATTTTGTTTTTTACCTTTAGTTAGTATTTGGTTGGTCTGCTTTTTTGCTGTTTTTTATTTTCTCTGGTGACATCTATTTAGCCTTAGGAGTGCTTCCATCTAGAGCAGTCCCTCTGAAATACCCTGTAGAGTTGGTTTGTGGGAGGAAAATTCCCTCAACTTTTGCTTGTCTGGTAATTGTTTAATCCCTCCTTCATATTTAAATGACAATCATGCTAGATACAGTATTCTTGTTTCAAGGCCCTTCTGCTTCATTGCTTTAAATATATCATGCCACTCCCTTCTGGCCTGTAAAGTTTCTGTTGTGAAGTCTGATGATAGCCTGATGGGATTTCCTTTGTATGTGGTCTTTTTTCTCTCCCTAGCTGCTTTTAAAACTCTGTTATTATCATTGATCTTTGCTATTTTAATTACTATATATTTTGTTTTTGTCTTCCTTGTGTCCCTTGTGTTGGGAGATCTGTGCACCTCCATGGCCTGAAAGACTATCTCCTTCCCAAGATTGGGGATGTTTCCAGCAATTATCTCCTCAGAGACACTTTCTATTCCCTTTTCTCTCTTTTCTTCTTCTGATACCCCTATAATGGGAATATTGTTCCATTTGGATTCATCACACAGTTCTCTCAATATTCTTCTATTTCTAGAGATCCTTTTTTCACTCTGTGCCTCAGCTTCTTTTTATTCCTCTTCTCTAATTTATGTTCCATTTACTGTCTCTTCTACTATATCAATCTGCTTTTATATCCCTCTATTGAATGTTTTATTTCAGATATGGAATTTCTCAATGACTGAATCTCTATTCTAAATTTGTCCCTGAGGTCTTGAATATTTTTCTGTACCCCCATGAGCATGTTTATGATTTTTATTTTGAACTCTCTTTCAGGAATATTGAGTTGTCTTCCCTTAGCCCTTTTTCTGGTGCTTGTGGGATTTTGGTTTGGAACAGTTTCCTTTGATGTTTCATATTTGTATGTGGTGTCCTCTAGTGCCCAGAAGCTCTACTCTCTGGAGATGCTCAGCCCATGGAGTGATGTCTGGGGTCTGAGGTGCTGGTGCTGATGGGGAGGAAAGAGCTGTTTCCTGCTTCCCAGCTGCTATGCCTGTCTCCATCGTCAGAACCTGTGGGCTGCACACACAGGAGTAAGCCTCTGTGCTTTGCGTTTGTAGCTGCCATAGGTGGGCCCTCTCACTGGCTGGCCTGACACCAGGGCAGGGGCTGTCAGTTAGAGAGCTGGTGTTGGCAGGCCAGCAGGAATATCCAGTAGGTTGCATATCACAGTGGGGGCCTTGTTGCTGAGTAGCCAGCCATGGGGATGGAGCACTTGAGGTTCCTGAAAGTTCCCAACCTGCTGGGCAGAGTATGTCTAGACAGTTTTGTCCACCTATCCTTTCTCCTGAGCAGCAAGCTCTTCCTCACACTGTTAGGAACTCTCTCAGAGTTCCCTCCTTTCTTTTGTCCCAGATCAGCCAGATGTGGATCCCTGTTTTCCACAAATGGCTGGAGTCTCAGTCTCTCCAAGTATTGTGCCTGTCTTAGCTTTCCAACCCCACTAGTCTCCAGATCACCATGCAATGTAAGTTCATGCTTCCAAAGCAGATCTGCAGGGCTGGGTCTTCAGCAGTCCTGGGCTTCCACCTCCTCCTGACTCCCTTTCTCTTACTCCCACCAGTGAGCTGGGTTGGGGAAGGGCTTGGGTCCCACCAATCAAGGCTTTGGTACATTACCCTATTTCACGAGGTTTTCTCTTTTCTCCAGGCATATGCAGTCTGGTGCAGCCTTCTTTCCTGTTGCTCTTTAAGGATTAGTTGTATTAACTATATTTTTATATTATATGTGGTTTTGGGAGGAGTTCTCTGTCTCACCTCTCACACTGAAATCTTTAATCCTTTGTGATCCATTGATTATTTATAAACATTTTATTAAGGCTCCCTGAATTTGTGGGCTTTTTGTTTTCTTTGCATAAATTATTTCTAGTTTCGACCTCTCCCTGAGGGTGGAGCCAACATGGTGGTGTGAGTAGGACAGTGGGAATCTCCTCCCAAAAACATATATATTTTTGAAAATACAACAAATACAACTAATCCTAAAAGAGAGACCAGAAGACACAGGACAACAGCCACACTACATC